CAAATACCCAAACAACTTTCTCTGCACCATTTTGAAGGCCATAAAAGATGATGGACAAAGTTTTGAAAGGTCAGGAATTTTTTGTGAGATAGTGGGCTTGATACATCTGGAGGTCAGGGGGTGGTCTGGCTCTGGAGGTCCTATACTGAAGAAAACATGAAAGCAAGTTTATTCCCACTATTTTCAAGGCCACCAAAAATGATGGACCAAGTTTTAAAAGGACAGGAATTTTTTGTGAGGTGGTGGGCTTGATGTACCTGGAGGTTTGGAGTGGCCGGACATCAGAGGTCACAAACATCAGCAAAGATCCAAACAAGTTTCTCCCTACCTTTTTAAAGGCCACAGAAGATAATGGGCCAAGTCTTGAGACAACGGGAATTTTTTATGAGGTGGTGGGCTTGGTGCATCTAGAGGTCAGAAGATGATCTGATATCCAAGGTCACAAACATCAGCAACCACCCAAACAAGTTTCTTCCCACCTTTTTAAAGGCCACAGAAGATGATTAACCAAGTCTTGAGACACCAGGAATTTCTTGTGAGGTGGTGGGCTTGGTGCACCTGGTAGTCAGGGGTGGTTAGACACCAGAGGTCATAAACATCAGCAAACATCCAAACAACTTTCTCCCCACCATTTTAAAGGCCACAGAAGATGATAGGGTTAGTTTTGGATTGCTAATAATTTTTTGTGATGCTGTATGTTTTCTCCTCCCCCTACATCCACCCATGTTGGCCAAAGATATTGCAAAATTGGTTCAAGACCATGTAGTTACATGACTATGATACATATAGAGCCATTCTGATAAGATTCTAGCCTGCCCAAATAGGGTTATGGCATCCCAATATAGATATTTGGTAGCAAGACATGGCCGGCAGTAAAATGATCATAACTCATGTTCCCGACCACCAACTTCCTTAAGAGTTGGTGCAATAGCATCCCAGTGATATGTTTCATGATCTGAGATAGTCAGAATGGCTAAAGAATGTGGGATGTTATATATAATATATAGCCATAGGGTGTATAAATCTAATATTCTGCGTGAACGTATCCATCCATGACGTGGACATGAAAGCAAAATCAGGCGAGGAATTCTTGGGGGTAACGGGGGGTAACTGTAAAAAATCGCCCGAGGTAATAAGCTGGTTGGTCTGGTGAGTTTATGTCTGCACAGAACGATGGTTACGCACCTGGATATTTCCAAAAGGAATATCCTTCTGCCTTATTTTTCTCCCGATCATATCCAAGCAGGATATAAAGAATCCAGTGACCAAGGAAACTGGGTTGCCGTGGCGGTGGGTAAAGTAGGCTAGGGGGGCAGACTTACTCTCATCCACAATAAGCACTTTGGCTTCTATCCAACGCGCAACCGCCGAATTGTTGTTGATAACCTTTTTCAAGGCCTGTTCGGTGGTTGTCTCGCAACCCGTGAGCCCAGCCCACGAATGAATCGTTTGTCCTGGTGTGAGGGTAGGGATCGATCTTGATAAGAATAGTTCAAACTTACCCTGTATCTTGTTCGCAGCAGCCCCTGTACTCGCGGTAACGGCCACCTCGTGCTTGGAGTACTTGGTTAACAAGTATTCAATGATTTTGATGACGGTAAAGGTTTTTCCCGTTCCTGAAAAACATTGAGTACATCAACTGAACTGGGCGTAAAACTCACCAGGATCACCGGTCAGGAAGAAACTGGTTCCATTGCGAGTGAGATCTAGCGCGGCCCGTTGCTGAGGGTCGAGCGTGGTTAGGTCAACATTTCCATCGGTGGGTCGGGTCATGAGAACCCTAATGGAGTGGTTAGTTATAAGGTCATGCTGTCTTTGTTGGGGAGGCATGTTGGGGAGGAGGACAAGTTGGGAATCGAAAGACGGAGGCCAAGGGCGAGTATATATGGGGCCGGGAACAAACAGTTACCCCTATCTGCCATATCAAAAGTAACTCTGAAATGGAGCCACGCGTCCAAGGCATTGATGCCTTCTGGTGGTATCACTCACTTCGAGCGATGATTAGACTACGACAGCGTGTTGTGTGTAGCAAGTACTTGGTCAAACAGCGGTGAAACATACTTGGCGTAAAGTGATATATGAATGTATAATACAAGGCGGGCGTCCATCTGACTGCTGAATGATGCATAAAACTAATTGTCCGCCTGGTATGTAACCGACCTTAATGCTAATGTACATCCTAAAACGCGTGCAGTTGAAGGGAAACGAAAGTTGAGCAAATTGAAAGGAGCATGTTAAAAGTTAGCAATCCTCGCGTTCGCCTCCGCCAGGGCATCTGACCACTCAATCTCTGCAAACTCGTTTGAGCACGATGCAAAAGCGATCAACAAATCGAACACGTTGGGGGTCGCTCTCGTGGGGATGCCATTGCGAGGTGACGGCTGAAAAAGCCAGACGACGAAGGATTCAATGTCGCGGATGATGAGACGGTAGTTGTGCTTGCCGAGCACTGCGAATATGATGCGATGTAGCGCAGGCACGCAGAAGACGATGTAAGGAATGCCGATCCAGATGTCCTGGAGAGCCTCACTGTCGCACGTGCGTTCCACAGGGTGGTGAAAGCCCATGTAACCACAGCAAGAGAAACATAACACGCTGTTGTTAACACTTTTGCGCATGGCCTTGCGGAAAACGGCTTTGTATTTACTGGTGTCGATGAGGTCACAGTGGCGGAGATCTGCATGCTGGTTGATAATGTCGAGAGACGAGGACAAGCCGTGAAAGGGACAGCAGCCGATATTATCTTCGATGAACTCGCTGATCATCTGGAGTTTCTGAGCACGTTCCAATGGGATCATACCGGGCGATGAAGTAGTAGTGATGGGAGATGGTGAAGGGGGTGGTTCGGTGCGTCGCTTCTTATTGGGGGGCTCGTCGAATGCATGCGTGGATGGTGTGACTAAACCCGTGACCCTATTGAGTAGGGACGGGGTGCTGCTGGCCAAGGTGCTTGTAGGGGAGACGACATCTGGTAATTTGGGCGATTGCGTCAAGTCGAGAGGGCATTTGCTGGAACATCCGTCAGCAACGGGCGGGGTTTGTTCCGTTTCGTCTACAGTTAGCTTAGAGTTTATGAGTACAGGCGTTATCAAAAGAAGGGAAGCCTTACAGTAATGTGACTCATCAAATGCATGTATAGGCCGGCCGGCAGACCCGTGAAAGTGCACTTGAGGAAGGGGCATCGATAACCCTTGGAATGCACCTGTTTTGCGGTGACGTTAATGCCTGGAAAGTGACTCGGTTAGAGGTTTAAAACACATAAGAGGTCTCCGCGCACCGAACAAGTTGAAGGTCAAGCTAGGGTCTTCGTTATGGACGGACACGTGCCTGATCATATCAGAGGTCGGTTTACTGCAAAAGAGGCAGCACAGAGTTGCTTATCGATCGAACTTTGGGGCGAAAGGGTGAGCCATGTTGGAGAGTCGAAAGGTAGGTAGGACAATTGAAAGATAGAAACGAGGGTAAAGGGACAAGGAGAGGGGGGAGGAGCTTTTGTACGTCGACGTTGGATTCCGATGTCGGACCGATATGGCCAAAGAAGCGACTGACAAATGTCTGGAAATAGGAAGGAAGATAGAGGAGAATCAGAAGAGAAGGCTCGAAGCTTCTTTGGAGACCGGAGGATTGAATCGAAGCGCCGTTGGCAGATGCGAAACTAGGAAGAAGAAGCATTAGTTAGTTGCCGGCGCGATGCTTCAAGGGGTGGCTTAAGCGGTGTGGTTATCGATGGTGTATATGGGGAGACCAGTTAGTACAAGAGTGAGTCTCATAGAAAATAGGACATTGCAAGGTATGGGCGATGCAAGATGTAACGCTGAGTTGGGATGATATTTCAGAATGCCACCGTGGCAGGTTAGAGACTAAAGCCGAACCTGGCGTACCTGATGAAGGTCCAGAATAATGTCGATTAACCTTTGTGCGAAGCGCAAGGGCCGTGCCTAGAAGAGAAGCGTGTGTAGGAAGGAAGCTCGGGTATTATTGATTGAACTAGCATATGCGATTCTCATGAGGGATAGTAGACGTATATCAGAGCATTTAGATATAATATTAATCATGCGTTCGAACGTCCGTCATATGCACATCGTTAGTGGAGGGTGTAGGTAGCATACGAAACTCCTTGTAAAACGCAATGATGAAGGCGTGGCACCGGGGGATCTCGTCAGCACGCGTGGGGTGATGAGTGAGCCACTTCTGCAGAGCGGCCAAGTTGGCGAAGTTACTGACGTCGACGCCCAAGTGCTGGGCTATCTTATCTAAATAAGGATTCTTCGTATGGTTGTTAATAGAACCCTTCTGAGAGTAGATGGCGCAGATCGCATGGGGAAGGATAGATGGAAACTTGGCACCGTGGGGACATGATTGATGATCGCGCAAGGAGCCTTCTTGGAGGGGCGGATGTTGGCATGGTTCACGAAATGGGATCCAACACATGTAACAGAAAGGCCAATATGTCGTGTCCGCACGCCTGAGGCAGACAAGCGACGAGGCCTTGGAACCCACGCCTGCAAGGTTTGGATGCTTGCGGGCATGCAGTTCGTGTTGGTTGCTGACCCAACATTCGATGCAACCAGATGCGACTATGACTTCGATGATGTGCTTGAGCACGCGCAGCTGCTCAATACCCGAAGAGTACTGTGAATCGATGGCCTCCCCCACTGCTCTCACAGTTAAATGCTCAGTGGCGGGCGGTTGATGATTTGTAGGGTTCGGTACAGTTCCGGAGGATGATGCGGGATATCTGTTGGGTGTGGGTAGCGATGGTGTGTCGCGGGGCAGCCAGAGAGCCTGCCTAACAGTGACGTCTGCAGACTAAAAGGGTTGGGTCAATTACAATGAGCGCATATAACAAGTACGAAACACTCACATTTTTCATGAACTGGCAGTTGTCACAAAGTAGAGTACCGGCGAATGATGAGCACGAGTGAGCGTCAGGGTCAAAATGTTGAAACGTGAGGCGACGACAGCCATCCGTCTGAATGAACTCTCTCATTGGAAGTACGCCAAGATGCTCGTCTCTGTCAGGCTCGCCGTACAGTGGCAGTTTGCTGTAAATCAAAACAGAAGACGAGGGGAGCCCGTCCCTTCCTAATCGACCGGTCTCTTGCAAGAACCGTAGCATATTATTCACCTCTAGATGGATGACAACCCGGACTCCAGGAAAATCGATCCCCTCGCCAAAACAAAGTGTTGCGATCATCCATCTCTCCTTGGGTGTGCTACCGTCGCGCCAGGCTTGGAATCTTCGTTTCTTCTCCTGTGTGTTTGCGCGCTCGTCCAGCTGATCATCGAGTTTGCTGGTGTAGTATGGAATGCCGAGAGTTTTGGCGAGATCCTTGATGAGGTCGATTCTCGTACAGTATATAATGCCCCTGTCCATTGCGTTGAGAACGGTCGAATTGAAGACATCGGTAAACTTCTGGATGACTTCTTTCACAGGTACTTTGATGACAGAGTAATGTATGTTAGGTCGATGTAACGGAGCTCTGATGACGCGGACCATGGTGGGTGGGATTTGCATTTCAGTGCACAGTCTCGATAAAGACTGGGGTGACATCGTCGCTGTGAGAAAGGTAATCGGTTTCTTCAAGCGAGTTATCAAGGGAATAGTTTGAAGCACGGGCGATAGTCGTCCGAAGTGAAAACATGGTGCGCCTCATCAATAAAAACACGCCTGAGTCTATAACTCATGGAGTTTGCCCATTGGTAGAACTCGTCCGTTCCTGCTTGGTGCGCCGATACGATAACTATCTGTGCCGTTAAACGTCTTTCACGTGATGATACTGTCCACCGGGAATGGTAGTACTTGCCAAACGACGCGACAAGTCTTCCGTCAAGGCGACTAGGGGAGTGACAACAATGAATAAACTGGCGGGGTGTAATATGGGAGCAGCAAAAAATGCTAGACTTTTCCCGCTGCCGGTTGGCATGACACAAACGACGTGTCGCTGGTCGTGCAACTCTGTACAACTTCTGCTTGTTGCGGTGAGGTGAACGAAGGTTTCGTTGTCCGGGGAAGAGCGGTCGTAGGCGTTCTATAAGGTTGGGATGACAGAAATCCGTGGTAAAGACGCCGTTGGGGGGACACCGAGGGGTGCCTTGGGAGTAACAACCAACGCTAGAATGTATTTGATGAAACATGGCCTCCATTCCC